CTATCGATTGCGATGCAGAATCGGAAACAATTGGCTCGCGGTCGTGATCGTGGTCGCGGTCGCGGTCGCGGTCGCGGTCGCCTCGATCGAAGGCGATTTCATGTCCAGAATGTAAACGATGGGACTCCCTCGGTTGAATCGCGAACTTTTTAGAAATCATTATTTATTAATTTTACATGTGCGTTATCTTCCCTGGTTTCGCCATTAAATCGTTATCGCGACGACGACTGTCCCCCTTAAAGTTGTATCGATCGCGGACGATGGCGGGATCGAGGGGGGACGATCTGCGTACGAACGCGACATCGTAAATTATTCCTCATCGGCAGCCAGCGGTCAGTTACTATAAATCTACGCTATCCGAGTGTTTACATTACTTTCTTGTTGCGCGATTAGTAATCGCGCAATAAGAGCATGTCGAACAAATCGGCTTTGCGAAGGAGAGCGATATCGTGCGCGATTGAGCCGCGACGTTATAGTTACACGAACGTGCAATTGCTAAGATTTTTTTATTATTCGATGAAGGATTATTCTCTGGGATCAGTCTGTTTTACCAGGAATTTTTATTTAATCTATCCCTGACCACTGTCGGAGTTTCGCCGTCGCGATTACACTTGTATCATCATCATGGTCATCGTTAACGTCATAGTCATCCGATGATCGTGGTTCATCGACAATGAATCATGGATCATGGATACGGTATCCACGATAGCATATATTCTGCACGATATAAAAATCATAATTAACCAACGCATTCTATAAATATCCATTTACGTACATCCGCAAGCGTGCATAATCGTACCTCGTATTCGCGATACGTAGCCAAAAATTACGCAATCGTTTCAAGACCCATTGCGTAGGAAACGCTGCTCGAAAACACGCTAAAAAAGATGTTTACACTCGCAGAGATAGCAACGATAGCCGCGCGTCGAACGGAACAACACGCTCCATCGACCGTGCCGAAGCGTTCCCATCTCGCAGCCTCCGCTTTCACGGATAGCGCGTTTCGCTCGGGTCGACTCGAGTTCTCGAAGCGTAGGTTTTCACCACCGAGGGGGACCGAAACGCGTCGAATTCGCGAGGTTCCACGAAGGGCCTGCGTAGAGCCACGAGAGCCGAGCGTTTTGTTCGCACAAGTCCCGAGAGTAAGTGGGTCGCGCGTGCAAACTCCGGACCCGAGCTCCGAGTCGCTCATGCAGCACGCCGCGCGAGTTAATGTCGCAAGCTCTGACTAACGGACGCAATTTTTCCTCGCGAAACTAGTCCCTCCATCGGGACACGGTTATCGAGGCAATGCATTGCAACATTGCGCACACCCACGCTTCGCATCGATGCGATACGATACGATACGATACGATACGTCTCGAGCCGACGTATGCCCCTCTCCCATCTTGCGAAAAATGTCGCAAGAGAATACAATTTCACGAGCAAACGAGCTACGCTTTTTCTCCGTTTACTCTGATCACACGTTGCAATTAGCGTCGTCTCGGGACCAACGAACTAAGGAACCCCCATACTAGTTTCTGCGACTTTGAACAGATTTATGCGTATCGTGACATCGGTCAATAATCTGCTATTAAAATTACAAATGAGAAGCGATAGATTTATGGATCAATGCGCCTTGGAGGGTTAAATAAAAGGATGCAATAGCACCTTGACTTCTGTCAGGCGGAAACAAAGAAAAGAACGTGGTAAGATGGGAACGGGTACGAGGAACGAGTCGGGGGTTTACGACGTTCGACTTAAAATCGTCCGCGTGATTCATAGCGTCCGTCGCGCACCGCCATCCAGTCGAGCAGGATCCGTTCTCTCTCTTCGGCGACCGGTTTTGGCAGCAGGCTGCTATACACGTGTTTCCAATAATCTTTTATCGGCAAAATAAATCAGTCTCGACCTTATCGCGAGATTATGATGTTTGCACGCTTCGAAATGCGCGAGATCCGTCCACCGAGCAGCTTTCCACGCGTCATCCGTCGACCTTTGCTCCGCGTCTTTCCGTTCCCTCGGTTTTCCATGCACGTGCCCCCGTGGTTGCGTCGCGACGGCCTGCCCCGCTCATCCTCGTGCTTCCTCCTCCGATTTTCATCGGTCTATCGGTAGGTTTAACGCTAATCTCGATTCTTTATCATTGTCTGCAAAAATATGAAATTGCATAAACATGAGCCATCTGGTAATATACTACAGAGATAAATCCAACGACGATAAGAAACGAGCAACGAAGTGGTTACCGATTGAAAAGAATCGCTAGCTCGCGGACCGGATGTGGCCCGCGGCCATCGGTTCGCCGTCTGGTCTAGAGTCGCGAACAAAACGGCCGACGTCCTCCCGACCGCCAAACCGGCCAGGGAAAAAACGAAAAGACGACGGTTCTCGTTCGTTGAGTCCCGCGAGTCTCGGCCTCGAGCGTTCCACGAACGGGGATCGTTGTTCGCGAGAGGAAATGCCGAGTCGCGTTGAACCCAGCCGCGAGATTCGAACTCAGGACCTTGGACTAACCATTGACCTCGATAGCTATACGCTACCTCGCGGTATGCAGCCACCAGCATCCCCTACCCACGGCACCGAACCTCGCCGCTCGACCGATCGCGCTCTCCAGCCATCCGTCCATCGTTTCCACGACGTATCGATCATTTTCGAGTATCCAGTATCGCGCGCGATACCAGCAGTCGCTCCGATCGACTCTGCTGCTCGGGAAGACTGACCAGCGCAACGTTCGTGTCGACGAACGCCGCTAGTCCGAAAGAAAAAGAACGAAAAATGGTAAATAGTTTCGTCCATCCGCCACGTAGAAGTCTTCGGAGAAACGATAACGTTCTAAACTTGGCTACTCTTCACCTTTTTTTTATTTACTTTAGTCTTTGGTTAGTTTTCAGCGTTGCGTGACCGTTACCTTGCACTTACAGTTTCCTATTAAACAGTAATGGGATTCTTAAATGGTGGGCAGTTTCGATAAAGTTTCGATTAACTCGCTATAAGAGAATCGTATCGTACCGAAACAAGTGAAACCAGCGAGGTCCAACTGCTTCGCAAACATAGCCTACGTAGCATCGTAAAAATTACGAACGAGTAAAACAAGCATCCGCACGTTCGTAGGAACCGTAAATTTAGACGGGCCAGAGCGATTATCGGCACGGTCATTACCAGTACGCGATAAATTAAAGAGGAGCAAATGAGCCAGGTAAATAGGAGACTCGGAGGCAAGGACCTCGTAAACAAGCCTCGACGTAGACGCCTCCGTCCACCTCCGTCGCTCCTCCGTAGTCAGCCAGCCAGAACGCTAAAACAGAGAGACGATACCAATATACACGATCGAGTTTACAGGAACTGTTGGAGCAACGAGGACGCGAATTTCGGAATCGCTGAGAAAGACGGCGACAAAACACCACGGGAATTCACTGAGAAGCGTATAATTAGCGCGACTTGTAACTTGTAACGCGTTTTCGAGCTCGTGGAAAACGTCTCGATTCTCGGAGGTTCCTTCAGTCGTTCACCGGTGCGTCACGCGATCGCGTTCGTATCGGCGACGACAGAGACGAAGAGCTTGCTTTCCAACCGAGACTCGATGGCAGCGAAAGAGGCACGAAGGGAGCAAGGAGGGAAGTGGAACCCTGATGCGGGACGAAGGACGAACCAGTAAAAATACCCGTGGAAAAAAATTTGCTCCATGAAGCGCGCAACCAGTTTAACGGTGATTTGGCACGCGACGCGGCAGAATCTCTCGCGGCGCCTCCAGTTTCGGCTCTTTCTCCCCAGGCTGGAGCATTTTAGGCAGAAACCTTCTCTCGGACAACCTCGGACTGTTTTCGTTCCACGAGAATACCATCGCAACTCTACGTCGCCTAAAATCACGGATATCTGTACCGTTGATCGCTAAACGTTCGTTGGTTTAGTATGTAACAGGTGGCACCGCGTAGTTCGATAGTCGAGTCACAGGAAAGAAAAATATAAATTTCTTTTATTCGGCGGATTGTTTGTTTAAAAAAGCAACGAACGGTTGGCGTAAAGCGAGAGAACGTGGACGGAAGAGTGGGCAGGGGTTAAGGGAGGGAGAGGAGTGATGTTGAACGGCTGGACGGCTGCGGGGGCGGAGGCGAGGGAACGTGGACACACTCGCGCGATGTAAACAGTGCGCGGTTGTTGGCAGCCCTGCTGGCGGCCGGGTGCAACGCCACCGCGGACCTTGAGCGATTATTTTACGACGAAACTCGGTTCGCGCGAGCGAGTAGCCATGCTTCGAGTGTATTGCTCTCGGCCGTGCGATTCTTCATCCTTTGGATACGGAAAATATTTCCAACGAGAACCAACAGTCCGCGAAACGGGAAGAACTGGAAGATTGCATGGTGTACCTGATAGACAGGTGCGAAACTATGCTACTGGTTACGGTTGGCCGCTGCCGAATCGGTTCTCAATTGAAACGAATAACTAAAATCTATCGTATGTACAAGTTAATTCTGTGGCTCTACAGAAGATCGATAATTGAACGTAACGAAATACCGAGTAAATATCTTTACTTGAGCTCGCCGGCAACGCTAACATTGCCGACCGTTCGATAAGTTCGCCTGCCATCCGAGAACCGTGGATCAACGCGAGCATTGAATGGGTAGATCTATCGGAGACGAGAAATGGATCGATATGCTTCAAACGGCTGAAGCCGACTAAAAGGAAAAAAAGCGATTCGAACTGATGGCGTAGGAGAGCGAGTGCAGTTTGCCCGCAGCCGTGCCACTGTTCATCCACCGTCAGCTATTAATAGCGCTACTGCGCGTTATTATCGTTGACGCGCTCGCGTGTGCACACGCGGGGTTCATCGCCGGATCGCGAGAGGAAACCTCGACTGTTAAGCAGAATTGGACATCGGTGCTAAAATATACGCTTTAACGAAAATGGATCGCAAAAGAACTTTGGTCGAAAAGAATCGGAAAAATGAAATTCGCCCCACGAGAGGTTACGATTTTCTGGATCTGGAAGGATCGATAACGGAGGAGAATGAAATAAGCATTGGGTCGTTTTTAAATATTTTTTAATAAGTTCGATAAAAAAATTATATAAATTGAATACTTGATAACAAGGTAATAAGTATTATAAACAAAGGGCTAGATACAAATGTACAGTCGTTACGTTTATAAAGTTAGTTGTTGGCGCAATTAATTTCACTATCGTGTATAATGAAAACTTAAACCTACGGAGAAGATATAGCTCGGACACGTAATCGTTCGCTCCCGAGCAGTAAACTTTGAAACGCTTATCTATCGTTTGGATTGAAATACGCGACGGGGATACGCGTATGCTTTCGCTCGAAAACTAAGAAAATAATATCGAGTCGCGCGAACGAACCTCGTCCAATAATCGCGACGCGTACGCGATTAAAAAAATCGAAACAACAAACTAAACGTATTGACTCGAAAGCATACGCACTCTGCGCGCTATACGCGCAGAGTTGAACAATAATTGCTTTTATTGTAATTAATCGCGATCAATCAAATTTTTGTAATCTGCAAACGTAAATCAATAATTTGTAATCTCTCGCAGTCGTTTCGTAATCATCGATCGCGATTACTGACCGTTCGGCGATCACGATCGTGGATGCGTGCGCAGAGCTCGGTATCTGTCGCTCGTCGGTCTCGGAGCGAACGTTAACGAATATCGGACTAAACGCGTCGTGTAACTACATTCGTGGAAAAATATTGCCAAACGCTCGCTGGCATTTTCTTCAAAGTTTCTTTTCGCGTCACATGTATATACGTACACATACACAGCAACCATTGATCACCGTTGAAAAAATAGCGTTATATTTATTTATATATATATATATATTTCGGATTGAGATCGGTATTAGAGCTTTCTTTCTTTCTTTTTTTTTTTTATCTTTGCGTCCCTTCTTTTCTCACGCGCGTATCTCGATAGAACCGCTGCCGTTTTTCCTTTTCGGGTCGTTGGCATTTACAGATTACACGTTATACCGCGTTGTATTGCACTTTGGTGTGTTTCGTTTATTTCTACCTATCGAAAGATTACGTATGTACGATTTCTCTGGACCGTGACTTTTCGTTTATCGACACTGTAAAACATTTATCATACATCGCTCTTTCGCTTCCTTTCTCGTCGAAAAGCCACGACGTCCAGAGGCTCGTTCGGATATTTGAGCAGCAGGAATTTTGTTGGTATTCGGGGTAACATTTGCAAGGAGTCTCGTCGCTCGAACGATTAAACGTAATCACTACCTTCGCGATTTCCAAAAGTCTCACCAACTCCCGTTTCCCCTCGAAAACCTTTTCTTCCTCTTTCAACGGGTTTGTCTCGTGGCACGAGCTCGACTATCTCGAATTAATCCCGGAAGTGCTTCGATCAAAAAAATATTCACAGCCTATAAGTCGTAAGGAGGGTGGGAGGAGGAGGGGTTTCCTACTTTGGTTCTAGGTGTTTTCTGCCGTACTCGGGATAGTCCTTTCTCAATATTTTGTTTCCTGCGATTCTGCCAGAGCTGGCCAGCGATTACTTTGTGATTACTTTTTTAAGAAGTATTTGCCAACGAAACGAAAATATCATAAGGCAAAGGAAGCTTTTATTAAAGACAGTGTGACGAGGACGATTCGAGTCGTTATATCGGCGGAGAAATGGTGATAGGAAAGTGCACTCGATAGTCGACACGGCGAGAAACCAACGGGCGAATCGTAGACGAAGCGTTCGTCCGTTTGACAGTTACAGGGGCTTGGGTTAAGTAGAAGAACGTTGTAAAGACAGAACTAGAGCGTTAGTTGGCAGTGTGTGCGGCGCACCATCGTGGATCTCCACCGTGTCAACGCGTTCGAATCAAAGGCAAGACGATTCGTCGTTTGATTTTCTATCGAAACATGAATTTTTGCGCGAGAACAGTTGCGAGAAAGATTTGGAACGCGAAAAACGAAGTTACTAACGCGTGTGGTCGCACAGGCAAACGTTAAACGTTAGGAGTAAGCGCTAGTTTACGGGTAAGGGGAATATGAGATCAAACGTTTGATATATTCGAAGACATTCGTCGTACGAAAGAGAAAGAGATCGTGGCGACCGTACGGGACGAGCGAAAACGGAAACGAGGCGCAATTTGGTTGCGTCGCGTGCATATCGATAATCTCGCGCGGTCCGCGCGATAACTCGTTGTTGTTTTCGCGTTCTGCTCTAACTTCGCGTCGACTGTAACACAAACATGTCGCAACTGCGGCCGAAATGCGCATCGCCGACGGAATTGTTCCGGTCCCAGTCTTTTCCTTTTTCATTTCCATCGCGTCTTCCGCTTCCTCGTCAGTTACACTTTTACCTTCGCCTATCACCGATACAGTATCAACCGCTTACAAGCATCGAATCCATTCTTCCAATCTTAACTGAGAATTTGGCAAGGAAGATGCTCGTCTATAAATGAAGCTTGCTTTAAATTTCTTTTAACACGTAACGTGATAAATGTCATTTGTACTTGTGTTTGTCGCTACCTTCGAATTTTCAGTCGTCTTTCAGCTCGAACCAATTGTTCCTTAAAAATTCTCAGACCTCACTCTTCTCTCGGAATACAGAGCATTTTTATTGCCAGAATCGTTTCCAGCGGGCACAAATTCGTCGAAAACGATATATCACATCACGGTTGAAAAACCTCGTTCACCTTTTACCAATTTTAACGTTCCGTCTTCCTCGGACATAAGATCGTAAGCGGAGAACACTGTATTTCACCAAGATTCGCAAGGTCCCGATAGTCTCCGTCGCTACGCAGATTTCTAACGTATGTATATATATATTATATAATGTGTGTATGTATGTATATGTATATATTACTACACATGCATCTACCAATATACACAAGAACGAATCGTCGCGCAAAGTAATCGCGGTTCCCCCAACATCGTACGTAGCTGTAAAACGCGGCAATCTAGCCACTAGCTCTGCGTTACCTTTCCTCGTGGGCCAACATTTGCCGCGGAGTATACAAAAATCCTAATCCTAATATGCTACAGTAGATGTACAAAAAGGCTCGTGTATTTTCGCGTCGCGAGTAGGATATGCGCGCGCTAAGACTCACCGGGGGAGGAGGAACGAGCGACGAGAAGAGTTTTCATCGTATCAGAGTTGAGCAGTGGTTATTTTGCCGTATATAGACAGAAAAATTGATTAGGGATACAAGAGACCTCTCACTGAACGTCAGAGCAAAGGTGGCAGAAGATTCGATAATTGGGATGATTTGACACGTTGACTGCCAAACAACTTGTGAAAATTTATGCGAGCTTTGCCTCTATAGAACTGAAAATTACTTAAATTTCAACTAGTACTTATTTCTGCAACTTTGTAAAATTCGTGAATCCTATGCAGATTTATTTCCTTTAACCATCTCATTTTCAGAATTTATTTCATCAATTTCTTCATGAAAAATGCTGTCATCTGTATACGGGTGACGTGGCGATCAACGTGTTAAAGACAGTGCAAACAATAGTGGAACATTTTTGTAATCTCTTTAAACGACGGTTATTTATTGCTCCGATTGTTCCAGTACTGCGCAGATAAAATCTCCCACCTACTTTGCTCTCGAGACCAACAAGAGCTTCCTTCACCCCTCCTCCTGACGATATACTCGAAATCAACCAAATTGCCAAGTCAGTAGTAATTATGCCCAATCCCCGCTACGTACAAAATGATCAGGGTACTCTGTCGCGTATCTCGCGACGAATGGGGCTGTTCGTTTAGGCGCTTGTTCCCTCAAAAGCTGACCCAGTCGTTGCCCACGCCAATGGTGGACAGCATGTCCGTGACGTCTGGGGTGCAGGAGAACTCGAAGTGGGAGCCGCTGCTGGAGCTGGCGGTCTCGAAGGTGTCCAAGTCGGTGGTTATCGTTTCCATGTCGAGATCGATCTTGAAATCGGACGGTTGTATCTGGAGGAGGTCCGTCAAGGAGTACAGGTCCGCCAAGCTAGGGTTGTTCGTCGACTCCTCGAGCTTGACCGTTGGCGTCGAGACGACGCCGACGGTGGTGTCGCTTCTCGTCGTTTCCGTGTTGGTCGAGACCAAGTTGGAGCTCGTGAGCGAGGAGACGGTGGGAATCGTCGTCGTGGCTGTGGACACGGACGAGCAGGATGCTCGATCGGAGTCGTTTAGGTTCGCTGGCGACAGGGCTTCCGTCTCGGTGTCCATTTCCGTGTCCACGTCGACGGGTTCCTCCTTGACCATGAAATCGGATCGTCTCTCGAGGTGACACGTCGTTCGACCTCGGAAACTTCTCTCGGATATCAGACCTATGTCTTCGACAGACCCAGGGAAGGTAACGGTAGCATTAGGGGCAAGACTCGAACCAACGGGGCCAACGGAGGACAGGAGTCGGTCCTTCGGTTCGAAGGTGGTTTCGAAGTCCATCTCCATGTTAGTTTCTTGCTTGATCTTGCCGTTGCTCATCGTACCAGAGGTGGAGGAGGCTGTGGTCGTTGCTGGGAGTCTCATGGAAGGGCCGCACTCGAGGAAGTTGTCCTCGTAGAAGCTGGCTGACTCTGGGGAGTCTGGCGTGACGCAGGAAGGACTGCTGGGTATCTTGGCGGTGACTATCGGCGGGGTAGGCGTGTAATCGAGGGGAGGTCTCTTGTCGAGCGCTAGTCTAACCTTCAGTCGCGAGACTGGCTTGCTGCTGCTGGATTGAGGTTGCAATCTCTTCACCGTCGCACCCACCGCGCTCGTTTGCATATTGTTGTTGGTGTCGTTTCGCGCGTGACCCTTGGTCGATCCTGGCCCGATGGCTCCTACCGACGTCGACGACTTTCTAGGCTTCTTCCCCTCCTTCGCCTTTGGGTTCGTGGACGCGGTCGGTTTCGAGGTCTTTTTCCTAGGTCTGTACTTGTAGTCGGGGTACTCCATCATGTGCAGTTGCCTGAGTCTTTCAGCTTCCTCGATGAAAGGTCGCCTCTCCGCCTCGTCCAGGGTCTTCCAACGTCTACCTAGGCGCTTGCTGATCTCCGCGTTGTGCATGTCTGGCTGGATCTCGCATATTTTCCTGCGCTCGATCTGCGACCACACCATGAACGCGTTCATCGGCCTCTTTATGTGATTCGGATTGTTCTTCTTCGTCTGAAACAGAGAAAGGACACCGTTTGGATCGTGGCCTTCAACGTCGCGGGGTATCTGGGTCTGTTGGAGGGTATTTTCTTGTAGGGTATACTCGATGGAACAGTAGGACCTCGATTATTGCCTGAGAGGCTCGTTCGTTGCATAGGGTCGGGGCACACGTGGAGCAGTGGTTGCTAAGCAGCAAATGAGGTTAGAGACGCGTGGGACGTTAAGCAGTATAGGGCTGATACTCGTCGAGTTTGTTACCTCGATTATCGTAGACGCTTGGGGATGAAAATCCAAGAACCAACGCAAACAGAATCATTAGAAAAATGCTGCTTTCTTTCGGGTGATATTATTTTATGTTACATCTAAATGAGAATTTTATGTCTCTGGAGGATCCGTCCGACAGATACCATATCTGTCCCGCAGTAGAGAAGCGAGAAGGGTGGAAGACCCTTTCCAAGGATCGAATCACTCGCGATTCGCGTTTAGCCTAATCCGAGTTGCATGCTTGCTCGCCCTCTCGCGTGATACGAGATAGAGAGAGATAAATAGAGAGAGAGAGAGAGAGAGAGAGAGAGAGAGAGAGAGAGAGAGAGGAGAGGGCGCGTGCACGCGCGCAATATTATTGCGTTACCGTTCGCACTCGCCGAGAGAGCGATTGCAATTTGCGTTGCTTATTAGACGGCGGTATGCGTCGAGATGCAGATAGCACGCACCGTGCGCGCGCGCTCCACCCATTATACTTTTAGATATCGTCGATTACTCGACACGCACTCGAGTGGAAATCGAAAGGCTCGGATGTAGGTTACGAAGGTGCGACGACGACTACGACCATCAGGAACGATGGCGAGACGCTCGATCGACGTCGAGAACGAATCGGTCCTAGACAGTGGCCCGCATCCAAAGGAAGGGGTTGCAAGTTGCTTCCTTGCTCATGCTTGAATAGCTTTTCATACAAATATCGAGTGTTCTTCTTGGTGTTAAGGGAAAGACTCTTTTTATTAGCAACATATGTGTGCTTGTTTTCGCTGTTAAAACCCTTAACGAACCCCATTTGTGGTATTCGAAGGGGTCCATGCAGGAGGCTGACATTTTGAATCGTCGTATTGCTGTATAATTACTCCCCCCCCCCCGCCCCCCTAAAAGAGGATTTGTATGTTCTCATGTAAGAATCTGATTAAATTCTTGATAGACTAGGTCCACGTGTACATTTTTCTTGTCTCGAGGAGTGTTTGCATCACCTTGCACTCCTCCTTTTGTCCTGGGCGCGCCACTATCCTTGGAAACCCCTCTATCTCGCTCGTCTTCCGAGTAAACGGCCGCCAGTTTTCGTTGGCGACAATGCATTCGACCTTGGTCTTCGTTGAACGTTCGCAGAAAGAACCGACGATCATTTCCGTTCAGTAAACACAGTAACATAGTCGACGGCTACTTTTCTTATTCGATACGCAGCTGGCCTCGACTTCCCACCCAAATGAACCCTCGTATCCGCTCGCAACCCTCCCTCGCACCATCCCCTGGTGTGTCGTGGTTGTTCAACGCTCTCACCCAGAGATGGGCAGAATTTTATTCCAGCAACAGACACAGAATTGGAAAGAGAATTCTGAAATATTAATTTTAAGAGTCGAAACACAATTCAAACGAATTTTATAATCTCTCGAGGAACGAATTACTAAATGTTCTCTTTTGTGTTTTAATCGAATACGTACGAACCAAAGCGATCTATGAATCAACTTTGACATACAAATACGATAACTTGAACGTTGTATATTTCTTAATTCCGAAAAGTATCGCGACCGTAAATACCCTTGTCGATATCCCTCAAGAGGTTCAGAATGTATCCTGCCCAATCTGCTGCGTGTACGCCCTTCTTCTCCCCTCCCACTCGAGTAACTACCGCTTTTTGCACACCTTTATTTATCTCTGGGGATCGCGTGCGAACGATAGTCTGAGAAAATAAACGGAGAAGGAAGTGCAGAAGAATTGACGTCCGTGGAAGAGTATCAACGAAGCCTATGGGCTTCTCTCTCTCTCTCTCTCTCTCTCTCTCTCTCTGGTTAGTTTCCACGGCCGAACGATCAGCTGACGACGTGCTCGTCAACCGCTCTGTCGCGAATCCAGCAACGCGACGCGTCCCGTGGAATGCGAAACAACGACGTCAAGGACAGCAATAGCGTACGAGAACAATGCATATTCGCACTAAAGCAGAACAGTGCGTAAACCGTAACACGCGTCCACTCGTATCTGTCGTTCGGCATCACTAGACTGCGCATTTTATCCTTGCAAGTAAGTCTTGAACTTTAACCCCTTGCTCTACCATTTTTGGGAACACGTAAACACAGAATCTTAAACCTTGGATTTCATGCAACCAGAATTCGTGTTATTTAAAGTAACGCAAAAATATAGATCGTACGCTGTCTCGCTTTAATACTGTATGTCTTAATTCCAACAGATACGGTATTCGTAATTAACGATAATATTGATATACAAACAAACGTACATATACGTGTCAGTATCCCTAAAGAGGTTAATTGTCAAGGTAGGAGACTTTTATTTCTCCTAGCCAGAGATACGATATCAGTTATACATTGGAAATTCCAAGTTTCATTCAACCAGTAACGATTAAAATTATCTCCAATTCATTAATTGAATTTTATAACTAGATAAGGACTTCGTACGTCATTCGTGATATCCCTTTTATTATCTCTCCTGATTACGGTTTTTCTACGCATCATTCTTAGGATAAAAACAGGTGCAAGAAATAACGCGTTCTTCGACTAGAAAGCGTTTGATTCGACGGACTGAAATCGAACGAGCGTTCGTTGCGAAAAACGCGTTTCATTCGACCTTCGTGCAGCGAGAGCAACTTACCGTTACGATTCCAACGGTCTGACACCTCGACGGGAACCACCGACAATCGCAAAAAAATAGACGATTGAAACGTTCCTCGGGCGCGCTGTCGACCAAAATATTTGCGACGGAAACGAACAATTCCACCGAGCATGCAAATTCAGAAATTTCCCTGTTTCTCTCTGTTTTCTGTATTTTTCTCGTGTCATCCTAACTGTAATTTATCATCGATACACGAACACACGACAGAGGAAACTCGTCGTATGACATTTTCGATTATCGTCGGCGATAAAGCGTCGGAGTCTGAAAACGAGATTGCGAGGAAACGATACGCGACGGCCGTGAAGTTGACCGATTAACTGCCTAACGTTCTCTTTTTTTGTGGCTAGCTTGAAAACAACAGAAACGTGGTATTCACCTTTCTTTACTTTACAGTTTACGTTTACACAGTCGGATCCGTTGTGTCTGTTGAACAAAATTTGCCTAAACGATAGGTTTGATGACGGTAAATAAATTTGTCACTACGAATATATACGTGTGTAAAGTGAAACATCAAGCTCATTGCTTAATTCACACAAATTTCTTCAGTAGACACAGAAGGTATGAATACTCGCGGGACCGACTGTAATTAAAATAGAAAACTAAGCGTGTACCGTATAAATTCCCAAGTGGTCTTCGAATCGATCAGATTTCCAAATGTCCAACTTACACGATAAACAATTTACTCGGCGTTAAAACGCGACGCGTACCACAAACACACTCTACGCTCGTTGCCAGGTTAAATGCGTTAAGTGGTTAAGAGAGTGGAAAAAAAAGAGAAACAAGGAGTTTCCGTAGTTCACGGTATACAAGCTCCGAGCAAATATTATCGACGTGTCGGCAAAGTACGCGTGAATTTCGATCCGGCGGGGAAAAAAAAGATTGCTATCGCTGAACGGAAGGAAAAAATAAAGTCGAGCAAAAAGGCTCGGTAAACAACGTAAACGAAAGTCGAAACAGCCAAGAATAACGGACCAAGGACAAAAATAATCTCTTCTTCCGTTCGACGGCGTTTCATCGTTACGAAAATAAACAGGTCGACGAAGGCATGGTTCGCGAATCATTTATCAGGGATATATGCTCGTGCGCGCGTCGTACACGCTAAGGACACGCACCTTTTGCGAACGAGACGCGTATTTTTGTATGGTAAAGAGAGGAAAAATACGAGAAAGCGTTGCAACGATGTTTGCATTTCGCGCGATTTCTGCAGCCACGCGCGCATCTGTGTCCACGAGCGCTGTTTTCCGTCTCGACGGTATAACGTAGGTGTCGGGTTCGTTGTTCGACGACGTCGGCGTCGTTTTGCCAGTCTCACGGTCGTCTCGTGACGGCCAATCAAAAATCGGTCGATCCAGTCGTGTACAATTTGATATCTGCTGGGTAAAACTTATCATTTTTTTTTACCGCGGTGCACTAATCGACGTGTCCTTATTGGGCTGACAGACGGCCGTGCACGCGAGTGAGTCAACGATTCGTGAAAAGTAATTCGTGGATAGGCTGCAACTAGCACTTTAGTTGAACCTTGTTTCGTTTGCGTCAGCGACATTATTTTACACGTTCATTTAACCGCGCAAAGATGTTAGATCGAGTAAAAGGGTAAAACAAATTTCACAGGGTAATGCTTCGACTTGTTTGACGTACGATCGGAGATCGACAAGATCCTCGCGCAAATAATTTCGAGTAACGAATAGAAGGTGAACGGTTCTGTATTTTTCAAAAACAGTAACGGTATTTGCTTCTTTTATCTTTGTATCGTATGACGACAAGCAGGACAAGCACGGCTTAAAATTTTATTTGTTGTTAAACGGCTTCGATCCTAGTATTGAATCATCTCTGGTAATACTTTAATTACTTCTCGCGCGTAACGAATAACATTGCGAATGACTCGGAGTTCGTTCGGATTTTATTCGCGACTTGCAGCCTCTAACAAACTTTGAGTAAAGAATGAGAGATTGTACCTTCGGCAAGTTATTTAATCGAGAAAAATTACGATCAAGTTTCGAGTTGAGCAAACATAACTTCACGCGAATAACTGTTCAATCGACCGATCAAGTCGTTACAGAAATTTTGTATTCGTCAGCTATTATTCCAGGAATAAAATTCTGCCAATCTCTGTGTAGTACGATGGACACGCGGTGAGGTTGTAAGAGCGTGTCGAGAAGCCTGCGCCGTCGTCTCGCTTTTCGTGTAGAACAGACGAGAAGCATAACAGGCTTCGGTTCGTGGACTGGCATTTCGAGACGAACGAAGGTCGAAGGAAAGGGAGGACTGTAAAATAATCGAACAGCGTGGTAGAAACGGAAAATTACCTGGGTGGCATCCGAGTACGGCGTCGTTGAATTTTTATCCACGAGCAACGATCCAAACATAGGTATCCCCGAACTCGAGGGACTGTCCTGCTGTTGAGGCACCATTTTTGGGCCCGTGATTACGGGGAATCTCTCGTCACGTCACTTTTAATAATCGAACACACTACACTTGGACGAATCCGCGGATTTTATCAGCGTCCGATCGATAGCGTCCGATCGGTCCTCTTCGCGCCTCGATCTTGGACGATCGAGTTCGCGTTTTCGCGAATAATTAGTATCCTCCTCGAGTCCGTGTTGTTTTCCGCTCCTTCTTGTTCCACTATCCCTTCAGCGTTTCGCGTGCTATACGACTAACGGCGGTCCTCGCTGGTCCAGTCGAGCAAAGCCAGGGACTTAGGGAAAAAAGAATCGAAGGAAGCGCGAATGGCAGTGGAGGATGGCAGTGATAGTAGATCATCGACCGCGATAACAACTGGGCGGCATTGACAGTCGCGACGTACGCGGGCACGCGAGCGCAACAGCACGCGACCACGCGACCAAAGAGACCACGCTTCTCGCAGCGTACGCGCAAATATCCTCGCCCGAAAACGCAGCCACGCGTGGTTCTTCCTTCTCTAGGTCGAAACGACGTGGACACGCGTTCGTCTCGAATGCGAAACGATCGGGACCTCCTGTGTTTCCGACGGAGAGCGCGCGTCACGCACTTTATTGGTTGAAACGGCGAACGCGACGGAAGCGTGCGAGTCTGAATCGCGACAAGTAACGTACGCTTGTCTTCGTTAAACGCGTGGCTTTTTTTTTTATCGCGTGTATACACGACTCTTAAGAACCGACACGATCGTCCGTCGACAACGGAGATGACATTATCGGTCGAGGACGCATACGACGCACGCCCGACGAGCGCTCATTCGCAACTAACTCGCCCTCTCGCTAGACAGCTACCTCTATACTGCGCTCAGCTGAGACACCACCAACTCCCCACCATCCCGCCGTAAACACGCTGCCGCGTCAGCCAATCGCCGCGCGGCTGTTCTTTCGTCCCTCTTTAACCCTGAAAGCCTCGACGTTGTTGCTCTCTTTTCTCTTCCTTCTTTTGGCGCCCCTCCGCCGTGCCGCGCGGTCGTACCGCTCGTTTGTCTGTAAGCGTACTTATTTTATACTATATACCCGCGTGCATAATTACGTATGTGTGCGAATGTGTGTACGTATGACGCTGTAGAAGAGGATAGCTGGTAAGGTGCATAGTGTAGCGTTGTTTGTTTACGTCCCCTAGTGAAAGTGTACCTGCTCATCGCCATCGTGCGCGTAGTGTCGCGTGACGCAGTCAACCGTTTCACGTCGAGTCGCTTCTATTCGAGTAAAAGATTATTCGCTAGTGTTGAATATTAAACGCGAGGCGCCTTCTTCGTTCTTTTTATGCTCGTATATCAAAGAACCTTCAAAACGCATCGCTAATCTGCCGCGGGCGGTATCAAATGCGATAGAATGTTTTCTCCCGAGGTTGCAGTCGTTCAAGGTCATATTTAGCTTGCCCCTCCGCCCCTCGTTCCGCCCGCCAGTCGCAATACTCCTTTTCCGCTTTGCTGTCCCCGTCAAATCGCGATCCAGACGACATTGCGATCCCGGTATCTCGATCTTCCGAAGGATTTTATCGTTTCCGCGATCGTCTGTCCGATAATCTCGATCGCAATCAGTTGGCGTTATCGCGAGGCTTGTTTTTCGATGAATAATTTGCAGACGGACCCGATCGATTGGGATCAATCTTCGTTTCAAACCTTTTACTCATTTAACCCTTGGAAACACCTTATTTATTTTATTTGTAGAATATTCTAAATTTGATTTGGGTACCAGCCGTCTGTGGAATACTATTCTTATTTCGCGTCGTTAGTTGTAATACAGCTAACGTTACATATCGTTTCGTTGCACGATAACGACCACAACGTACAACCCAAACACGTAAACCTTGGACCAGTAAAGGTCGAGAGCCCGTTTTTCGCGGAATCAATGAAACGTTCGGACTCGCGACACCTCTTGGGCGCTCGTCGCGCGAACCGCTCGGCGACATCGCGACCGTCGCTGATCGCCACGGTCAGCAAAATCGTTTACCTATCCTCCGTTTCTCAAGGACTGCCACGAAGGAGTAAAATGGAATCGAGCCAGAGACGACGGAATAAATGTTGCACGCGATCGGTGGGAGCGGCTGTCGCCACTTAACCGGATGCTACTTGCAACTCGAGAATACTAAACGCTCGTCGTCGATGTATTTACAAGAAGAGTATTTCCGACGACGCAATCATTGCACGCTCGCGGAACGCAACCCGACGGCTGGATGAAGCCGTCAAATAAGTCGGATCGAGTCTTTCGCAACGGAGTTTCCTCGGTTGGCTTCGAAATAGCATTTCCCGACGATAGGGGGTGGAAAACGCGCGGGTCCAGTCGATAAGTTTACCCTCGTGGGTAAACTAGGTTGGTTCTTCTCAAAAGCTTCTTGGTAGAGATGTTGTTGCGATATGAGGGATCCAAAGAGGTATAGTTTCAATACTTTTAGGGATGACTTTGTTTAGGGAGAAAAGTTCACGTAGTTTACTTAGCTTTTTCGCGTGAAATTGTACTGTCTTCAAGGCTTATTTGAAACGTTTCTTTAGAATTTTTACCAATATACACGAGATACTAAGAGGGTACAAGAGGTAATGCTTTGGTTCCTCGCAGCTAAGGTTCTTTAATCCTTCGAGATCAAAAAGCTTCAAACCCAAAGCACCTCACCTCTTTCACACGCCTCAATCTTAAGATATCTCGGTGTAAAGATTCTCTAACCTAAAATGCCCCGATCTTTGCTGCTCGACGCAGTTGGCAACCCCATCGGAGCGCGAGAAACGCGGACGTTCCGAGGGAGTACGAGGGGGGAAAAAAAATTGGTCGCCCACTCGTTGCGACTAGCGATAGATTGCGAAACGACCGGTTCGCGCTCGCGCGCTCGGTCTACGACTATCGCGGAACACCGCTGCGGAACACCCGCGCTGCATTTCACCCGTCTGAGTCAGCGTATCGCGCGAGTCGCACGAATCGTTGCGCAATTCCCGTGCGCTCTCCGGAACGAGCAGGGGCCGTGCAGACGCTTAGCAGCGAGCTCGGGTCTCGAGACTCTCTCCTCCGAGCGAAACTCTCACCAGCGTGTCTCGACGCCCTCGAACCCCTTCAAAATCGACTTTTCTACCCACAAACCTCGCCTCTTTTTCTTCCATCAAAATCCTACTTGGACGTTTCGTGCTGTCGAGCTCCGTAGCGCCGTTCCTTTTTACTCTACTTGCCGCGAAGCTACGCGTAACACACTAACCGATGGCAACCGAACCGCAGCGGACACGCTTCCCGTTCGACTTGGCCAGAAGGAACTCTCTCTCTCTCTCTCTTTCTCCTAAAAATTTCATAACGTTTCGAGCCTGATAGGCGTTTATTTGTTATGGAGGAAAACAGATTATTAAAGGTTTCGATACATTGTTGTAGTATCCGCGCCTCCTATACCAAATAAGGAGTCAAATGAGAACACGGAACTGTAGATCCGAGGATCGTGGGTTCGAGCCCCCGTGGCTTATTTTTCGCTTAGACTTGGTTTTTACTATGGTGTTTTATCCATCGAGCAGTCCAGTCCTTCGTAGCGTCGCAACAAGGAAGTTGGCGTAACTTGATCGATCATACGCTGCGTTTGACGCGTTCGAGAGTTCGCACTCTACCCGTTGATAAAAGTTATCTTCTCAACGAATTAGCTTCGCCATCATTGCGATTCGGTTTCTGTTCTGGAAATATTGTTTGTATCGCCCCTGATAGGGCTACCCACGATACGTCTTATCGCGGCAAGTCGATACGTCTTCGCAAGGTTTCATCGCCCGTCCACGCTTTCTTCGTCGTGCTTCCCTCCTAATAACTGTTATTCCGCGTTTGTTTGAAAGAAACCCATTGCGCGCATCAATCTCCGAGCCCTCAGGGGCTGTAGCTACGCTTGTAGCCACGGTACGAGCTTAGCAACCTCGAGGTACCCGAGCTATTAGGGTATCCCAAGCATATGTTAGACCAACTGACAGATAGATCTTTTCAAGTATAAATTTCTCGATCGTATTGGAGTCTTCCACGTCTGGTTCCCTAACAAAAAATCTATAGGATGCCCCATTCGATATCGCAAGAATTGAAAAATCCAGCGATGCTCGTCATTCCGTGAGAACCGTACGAAAAACGATCCGACCTCGAAGGTTTCCAAGAGCCTCGCGCGTACATTCTCCTCGGGCTGTGTTAAATACACGCGCGCAAAGTATGGCCTCCCGAACGCAGCGCCTGTATCGACAGGAATCGTATCGGTTAGCTGGTGTACACCTAGAGACGAAAGCCTTCGTACGGGCCACGCAACGCGAGACATCGTCCAGAGGAAGGATGTGGTCGAACCGAGAAACAGAAGCAGGTGTTTTCTTCCGTTCTCTGCGCCGTTTCGCTCAACCGTCGACAAGACTAACTGCCAGGGCCGAGGAGCGGATATTCCGCGACCTGGTCGATCGAAAATCGATCCGCAGTGAAATCCGCACAGAAGAAATCCATTGGTCGAGGGACCAGGCTAGCTAGTTCTTGGACTCCGAAGAGGAAGGCATTGTGAATTTTCCACGAAAGGACCGTCTGTCCCAATTGGAGTGATCCGAGCTTTAAAGATTAAAAAACTGTATACTCGAAATCATAGCTTGAACGAGGCTCTAGGAATCGAGGAAAAATCGGTTCGGTTTTCCATGCGATTCGTGAGTGCCAGACGAGGTCCCGCGATCGCACACTTATCGTTTAATACCGTCGATGGAATGTACCTGGAAACGGATATCGGTCCAGCTGTCCAGCTGTCCAGCAGCTGTGTACTTCACCTGTCGTCGTATCGCCAATGTATACACTCGTGTGCACCAGTTGAACGTTTCACGCCGGAGGTTGTGCGCGAAAGGTGCGAGTTTCCTCGACGGTCGTCTTCTTCCCTCGCTTTACATTTTTTTCGACTATGAATAACCGATTACCTAGGCACGATTACGTAACTTATCTTGGACTCTAGTGGAAACTATTTGCTTGCTAGAGCAATACTGAAATTAATTCTCTTCGATTGACTTCCATTGCCTCTATCCCGGGCCAGCCCCCGAATGTAGGATTTATTTCACTTAATTCTGTCTTTTTTTACATCCCCTCGTCCTCATTAAAGAAACGAGTCTTTACATTAATATCTCTCTTATCAAACTCTGCGTAACGTTAAAAGAATCCAATTCCCGAATCGTTGGATAGCTATTCCGCGGTCACTTTCCCACCGAGTGCCGATGCCCTACTTCGTCCTATCGCGAACTATGCCAAGAGTTTATCTGCATTCGGTCTCGATTCGCACAGGGACATCGAGAGATGATTCTGAGACAATTTGCAGTCGCCACGGCGAGACGCGTTCCGTCACGGTACAGGAGCCCAGGGACAATGATTTTACGTATCCGGCTATTTCGCACGACTACGCGTTCTTCCTGCTCCGTTGTCGAGGCTCCGCTCGAGAACTGTCCAGTAGAACTTGATAAAATTTCGACGACAGCAGTGAACGATCGTCCGGACTCGAAATAGTTTAAATATTGGAACGAAATGGGAAGATAAGCAAAGACGACAGTGGGTAGACGGGCAGGTAGTCAGGATCGTAGGTGGATAGGTGGGTAGGCGAGTAGCTCAGTAAAGAAGCAAAGCGAACGGCACGGGAAGAGAGTCTTTGAGTATCGAATTTTTCAACAAGAAAAGCTGTTTACCTCCCCATTCGTTATTCCAAATTCTCCACCCACGGATTCCTTACATTATTCGCGTGGAACTCTTGTGATACCAGTACCAGGATGGTTTTCCCTCGAATAAGACTCGCCCGGCTCAGGAGGGACTCGGTTTTGAGTCAACGAGCA